TGGGAGCATGCGCCATCCAGGCTGTCAGCAGGTTACCAGTTATCACAAAAGCACCACACTGCCAGGAATGGAGCACTCCAGCATTCATCAGGCCAAGGTATTTTCAAATCTAACCATAATCTGAGATAAGCAAGCACAAAGCCCTCCCTATGCATGTCTTGCCTATGCGCAAAGGCCACCTATGTGCATCTGCTCTTCAAAGTCTCACTGGCAAAATCAAGTCAGTGCAGCTGGAGCTGCAAGGTAGAACAACCCTCATAGGTTCAGTTCTTGCTTCTAGGTTCTCTAGAGAACATGTTTAACTTTCTTTAGGAAGCATCCGTGATGTCTCAGGGTCTTCCTTTTACCAATCTGTAGGTGCCAAAAGCTGCTCAGTAGCTAACTGTTGCAAACCATGTAGAAACACACACGAGAGGGGGGAGAACTCAGAGCTGCCTTCAAAGACGACTCGCCCTTAAGCTGGTAGCAGTGAGGGTGTATGACGCAGTGGAACAGCTCTGATTACAAGCAGCAAAAGAAAAGAGCACACTCACATGCGCTACATCATGACAGTATACACATACGATACAGAATGGGATGTGAAGGCCATATCTAGGGTTACCATATTTTCGTGCATACAACACTCCCCGGAATAAAGCAAGCACCCTATTTTTGAAAGGCAAAATGAATAAAACGATCGTTCCTTTTAGCAAGTAGTTGAGCAGCAGCAGAGAGCCAAGTCTGCTCACTGCTCTGCTCCCTGCAAGTTGTGTGCAGATTTTACTTACCGTATTTACTCGAATACAAGACAACTCCCCCAATAATTAGATTCTATATATGGAAAATTTACAAAATGTTACAATTTTCCAGGTGTCAAATCTAAGTATTGAAGGGCTGTCTGGAATCCTTTTCCCTCCACTGCTATAGCAGTGAAAACAGGGGGTGGGGGGGGATGTTAAATGGCCCCCTTGCCACTTCTTCCCCTTCAGCCTTCCTGTGCCTCCCACCTGCACCCCCCACCCTTAGCTCCCATAGTTTCTTCCCACCAAACTCCCCCCCAGTCTCTGCTTCTCCCCACAAATTTCCAGCAGTCCCCCCAGCATGGCTGCTGTACCCACCCCAGCTCCTGGTGCTTTAAAGAAAAGCCCCAATGCTCACCGCGTGCTGCTGGGCAGGGGGGCAATCCCCACTGCCCCCCACTGCATGGGGGGCTCTGCACGAGCCCCCCAACCCTTCCCCTTGCTCCCCCAGTCCCACCACGGGTGCCCTGCCCAGGCCAGCTTTGACCCTTTAAGAAGAAAAAAAACCCAAAAAACCCCGGGACTCACCACTCCTGCCCGCGGAGGCAATCCCTGCTGCCCCCCATTGCCCCGTGCCACATGGAGGGCTCTGCACAAGCCCCTGAAGCCCCGAGGCTGACCCTATGGTCCCCTCCCCCAGCCTCACCTCCCCTGCCCCTAGTACTTACCAGCTCCGAGTGGCTGCAGTTTCCTGCTGCAGGCACCGGGGACTGCTCAAATCATCAAAGCTCTCCGAACGTTTTCCAAAGATTCAGAGAGCTTTGAATTGATTCAGACCTTTAAACTGGTCCCCTGATTCAATTCAGATTCGGAGATTTGGCCACCAAATCAAGCCGAATCTCCTCCAAATTGAATCGCCACCTAAAACTTCGCACAGCCCTATTGGATAAGGATGGTGCTACCTCAAGCAGGAGGTTGGACTAGATGACCTCTAGAGGTCCCCTTCCAGCCCTATTTCTCTAAGAAAACCCAGGCAGAAGCTTTTCAAGGTTCATTATTTTTGATAATTACAATATTTGCATAGTGGCACACAACACTGACACTGAGCAGCCCCCAGAGAACCAATTATCTGCGTTGTTCATACCCCACTTGCCCTAAGCTGACCTTGTTACAGAAATAAAGTTAGACTTGGTGTCCTGGTTTTAGGTGAGCTGGTGAAATACAAGTGTGCAATGGCAACTGGCTCCAAAAAGACTAAAAGGTTCTCCTGACTCCAGGTAAGCACATCAAAACTACACTACTCTGTGGGATTGCAAGCACATTCCATTTTTGTTAATTAAATTTAAATGAAATTATTTCAATTACAAACAAATTAAATTATAAAAATGAAGCAGATTAAACCACCATATTTACTTTATTCTAAGATGAGGTTTCTTCCCCCCGTGTAACATGGGAGGAAACTGCCCCTTGTCTTAGAATTGAGCATGAAAGCAGTGGGGGTGCTACATTTTCAAGCTAGCCTCTGAGATGCTACCAGAGCAGTATGTAGTCCACACAGACCCATGTCAGACAGTTAACTATTCAACCCAGACACAGCATACATGGGCAACTGCTGCTTTGAGGTCTGACTTTACCTAACAGCGTGGAAATACTGCCCTCAAGGATTAACCCAAGCATTAGCTTCGTATTTTCCATTCCTTTCTGTCCATCCAATAGACTCAACAGACACAGTGAGGGTGAAGTTACACATAACACTTCGATCACACTAAGGACATTTAAAATGCGAGCATCTGCATGTTAAAGCTTGTTAACTTGTGCTAAATGCCCTCCGAGCACCTCAAAGTTATGCCACTTCAGGTGAGAGTAAACCCTAGGTCACGCTACTAAACTTGTGTTAGGGTAACTTCAGTCTGCTCCATGGAGATATAATGAGCAATCTGCAGTTGTCCAGCATCCCAGGATGCACCACTGCCAAGACCCCCCTCACCCCCTCAACACACACACACAAACACACACACACACACACACTCTCTCTCTCTCTCTCTCTCTCTCTCTCCATGCAGGGCAGGGATACAGCCCAGGTGTCCTGACTCCTAACCATGCCCCTGCTCACCAGCGGTCTAGTGGCGACTCAGAGGTGTGCAGGCAAGAAACAGCATTAACCCTTAACATGCGACCACTGACAGAATGTTCTAACTTGACCACAAAACCTCCCATAGGATTGGTATGGTGTAAGTGCAGTGAGAAACTTCACTCTGGGAGGGGGAGTTTCACTGGATAAGGGGGAGCACATTCTGAAAGAAACAAACTGGCTCTTTACGGCTCCCAAACTGGGTGCCAAAATCACTGTTCACTTCTGGAAACCTTCACCTTAGAAATGTGCTTCAGAGACCGCTACGAGGTCAAGCAGCAGAAATATTGTTCTCTTAATTTTGGGCATTGAGAACCTTGGAGCTATTACATCACCGTCACATGCTTTACGATTCATTAGTCTACATTTTAAGCTGCATTCTGCACGGACAGAGCACCTTCATTTTGAAAATCATTCAGCTTTCTACAAATAGTAGATTAACTGTAAGAAGCCCTGTGAGCTAGATCAGCATTTCCATCCAAGCTGTCTGCCCTCAGAGTGCCTAGTACAAAGGCAGGCAAGGTTCTTTGTGTAGATGTGATATCTTTTACTAGACCAACTAAATAGCTGGAAAAAAGTTTTTTGCAAGCTTTTGGGCACAAACACGCTTCATCAGGCATAGGAAGACTCTGCTGGTGTTGTGTGTTCTCCAAGGTAGAAAAGTAGCTAATTTACAACAGGCAGGTCTGTGAAAATGCAAACGAGTGGAAGCTGGGAAGACAATGTACACAAAGGACACCTTTTGCAGATGAGCCTACGAACTTCACTTCATAAATCTACTGGACACAAAAAATTGTGGACTTACTATATACATTGGATTTATGACATAATACAACCTGCCTGACATCTGATACCTCAGGTAACCTGCCTCCAGCTGACCACTTGCATTTCTTCACGCATTTCCCCACCTTCCCCATGCTCCGCTCCTATCTCTACCCATTGTCTTCCCAACTTCCACTCATTTGCATTTTCACAGCCCTGCTTCTTTTCTACCCTGGAGAACACGTAACACCAGCAGAGTCTCCCTAGGCCTAACGAAGGGCGTTTATGCCCAAAAGCTTGCAAAGAACTTTTTTCCAACTAAAAGATATCACATCTACCCAAAGAGCCTTCCCTGCCTATGTCCTTAGGCCAGGGGTTTTCACCCTTTTTGGGTCATCGTACC